AAAACATAACAAAACAAGAAACAGCGTCAGTATCATCTTCTAAAGCTTTTGACCATGTCCCCCCACCCGCCCCCCCGCACCAAATCCCCTTCAGAATCTCTCTGAGAGTTGACTTTGACCCAGTCTTGCTCTAATTAACCTCCCTGCTCCTCAAGCACTGGGCTTTCAAGATAAATGGAAATCTATTCCTCGGCCTCACACGCCCTTGACTGAGGACACGTCATGGCCATCAGCCCAGGTCGTCCCCCTGGAGTGCGGCGCTTTGGAACGTGCGCCCACAGCGCCCAGCCAGGCAGATGGGAGGCACCCGCCTGCTGGGCCGGGCAGCAGATGTCCTTGTCAGACGGACAGACCCCTCCTGTCTCCGGCTCTGCTGGTGATCGATACTCAGTGCCCAATCAATGAGAGATGGCTCTGTTTAGTCCGTTTGATTGTTTCTGTGGTGAAATGTGCCACCACTTTTGAAAAAAAAATTATAAATGCTCTTTAAAAAATATTTTTAATTATAAATGCTCCTCACCCTCCAACCTCATTTGACCTTTAGAATGTGTTACAGCAGTCTCAGGTTTGGCCCCCGAGTACCTGCCTCAGCAGAGTGTCAATGGGAAACTGCCCTTGGTCTGCAGGACTAGAACTGCCCTCGCTTGATTTTTAACACCTCCTCTGTTCTCTCCTCCTGGAATGGAAAGTAGCACACAGTATCTATTCTTTTATCCATAAAGCTGTGTAGAGTCTGGAGGCTTTCAAAGAGTCTTTTTAAAAATTGCAATGGGTTATGTAGAAATGAGAAGGAAAATGGCTTCTTTCTTTGTACCATCTTTGTGGTTTATTCACTGAGACCAGGAATAGCAGAATGATTTCATCACACATGGCTTTCCTAAGGAATAAGAGACTCTGTGGGGTGCTAAGTCCAGACGAGATTTTGTGGTCATAGTCAGGGGTTGTGAAAGTGTGCTGTGATTGTTTAATGATGTCTGCCGTGGACATGGAAGTGGAGGAGAGGTAAATGTGTGCCATGTATTTGCCATTCCTGACTCAGATCTTGTGTAAAGCAAAGTCCACATGTAGATGCTGATACTAGCCTAACAGTTGTGTGTATTATGTGCCAGGCACTCTTCTCAGTGCCTTACATATTTGATTCTCAAAGCAACCCATGAGGTAGGTGCAGATAAGGAAATGGAAGCAGAGAGGCTGAGTTGCTAAGCCAAGGTCATACAAGTAGACAGTGGGAGAGCTGAGAGTCAGGGTCAGGTGGTTTTTTTATCCTAGAGTCCCGGTCCTTAGCCCTGGATTCTGTACTCTTTCTCCTTGGCTAATGCTGTGTCTTTGCTCTCCAGGGAATGATGTAAGGCTCAACTGTGGTTCAGAAAAAGATGCAAAATCAAGTTTAGAGCCTTGTTACCTTTGGGCCTCAGGCTCTAGAATGAAAGATAAGACAGAGTCCCGGAGAGCCTTGGCAGTGAGGAGGGAGTTGCACATGAACTTCTTCCTTCCTCTCTGGGTACATTTCCAGTCTTTCCACTTCTGCCTTCTCAGGTGGGAGAAGGTTGGAAGGGAAGAGGAATGGTGTTTAGGGACTGGAACAGAGGAGTTCCTTGGTCTCCAGGCCATCTGACTGGTGAGACTTTCTGAGTGGCCTTTTTCAATGATCTTTTGTGTATAAGGGACACGTGTGTGTGTGTAGAGATACATCAGTGTATCAAATAGTAATCTTTCATAATGGCTAAAGAGGGACTTTTTAGTACTTTAGTAGTTTGTTTCCCTTCATTAATTTAGCAACTATTCATTAAACACCTATGTTGGGTCTTACAGTGTCCGGAAACTGTGGAAACAGTGAACCCATATGAGCCCTGCCTTCTCTGAGCTAGTAGTCTACTCGCTGAAATAATGACGTAAGTGTAAGGTGCAGCTCTGACTGTAGTAGAGGGGATGAGGGGCTGAGGTGGCCAGACCACATGGGCTTTTGAAGCTCATTGAAGAGTTCTGATTTCCGCCTATGAGCAGTGGGAAGCTATGGGAAGTGGGGGAGAGGGTCAGGAACGTTCTGTTATATAGTCAGTTAAAAGATAATTGTGGTGACACTGGGTAGAATGAATTGGAGAGGGGATATTGGAGAGCTGGAGGTGCTTGTAGGGGTCCAGGGCAAACAAGCCGTAAGGGTTGGGACGAGGGTGGTTTGGGTGGTAAAGGGAAGAAGTGAAAGGATTCTAAAGATACCTGGAAGGCAAAATTAGCCAGATTTGGTGATGGATTAGGTATGCATACCAAGGGAGAGAGAGTGGGCAAGGATGCCCTGAAAGTAGGAGGATGTTGTCCTATTCCCAGGGGGAGGGATGCTGGAAGAGGGTCAGTTTTGGTGAGGAAGGTCATCCTGCATTGGAAGTGCTTCTGAGCTGTCCCCGAGGAGATGTCAAGTAAGCCACAGTGTTTAGGGAAACCATGTAGTGTTTTGGCTGGCTATACATATGTCCTGCTGGACCGTCCTGGGAAACTAAGTGCTACAGAAAAAATTTTAGAATTCTACAGTTTTGTTGACTTAAAAAAATCCAAACAAACATATTCTCATCTGGGAATTAAGAATCTAACAATGACAAAGACAACTGATAGTGATAAATATCTTGCATAATATTCATAGTTCTTTTTGTTTTTGCATATTTCTCTGCCAGTCTCTTCCCACAAGCATTCATATTTTTGTTAGCTGTCATTATAGCCTGCATTCAGTATGTAGCAGCATTGTTTTCACTTACTGTTATCCCAAATATTTTTTCACATTTCTATTTCTCTCTCAAATTCTGTGTTTAAAATGTTACATGATATTCCATGCTTGTGATAAATTATGAGTGATAATTTTCTAAGCTGTTTCTCTGTTTTTGGATATTTAGTTGATTTAAAGATTTCTTTATTACCAGTAATATGTGAGTAAATATCATTATGTCTACCACCTGTTTTTTTTTCCCTTGCATTTTTCTTTAAATTCTCATGAGTGAGATTAGTGGGTTAGCTTTCAAATGGGATTACAGCCCTCTGATATATGTTTTAATACCTCTGACAGGGGCTCTGGGCTCCCAACTATAGAACAGAGCTGTGACTTCCTCGTGGAGCCTCACCACCTTCCTCTGGATTCAGTAACCAATGGTCCCACCATCGCTGTCCAGGGTACCATGGCCACCTGTGACCTCACCCCTTGCATCTGCTGGAGGCGCCAGTTAGTGCCTCGAGGCTGTAAGGCTTGTAAGCCAGGTTCAGCCTGGTTCCTCCTCTTCTCCGAGTTCTTCTGTCCTTCAAATAGTACCACCATTGCTTAGGAACCCATGGAGTCCCCTGAAATGATGCAATAGAGGAAGGAATTGACTAATCTAGACTGAGCCTTATCAGCCTCCAGGTTCTAAAAGACGCTGTGGGTGCTATGGAGGCTGCCTAGGGGTCTCATGGGATTGGATGGGAGTCTCAAGACCTTTTATGATCAGGTGCCTGCCTATCAATCTCTCCTTAAGTGCTGCTGCTTCTCAACACGTCACCTTTACTGTGCCTGGACTAGTCTCTCCTCTGGCCCAGGACAGTGTCTTGGTTGCATCGACTCCTGGCTCTCACTCGAGTTGCTCCCCCACCCTCTGCGTTTCTATGTCCTGCTCCTCCTTTTAGACTCGACACTAATTATAATTTCCCCAGGTTCCTGGCTCCACCTTGCAGCTGACTGTCCCTCTGCTGCAAACTCTTCCAGTACCTTTAGTCCCCACTCCAGGACTTAGCACATCGTTGTAAGCTTGCCTTTGAAATTTTATCTCTTGAAGATAATTCTACACTCCTCAAGGGCAGGAATCATGTCAGTCTCCGCCCAACTCTGCCAAATCCCTCAGTACCCAGCTTTAGTACTGAGCCCTGTGCCAGAGCTCAGTAAATCTAATGTGATCCATTAGAGCAAAATATCCATGCACCATGATGCAATGTCAAAGTGTTTTCAATGTAAATGTCCATATTCCAAAATTGCTAAGGATCAAATTAGGCTACTCGTAGATGAGCCATACTCAGATCTTCTCCACCTGGTTTTGGTTTGGGAGCTATGAGAATAAGTTAAGGCTGGAAAACCATAAGCCGGTCACTTTTTATTTCTAAGTCCTTGATATGCACTCAGGTGGAAGGATGACTGGTGGAGGTGATGAGGTTGGATGAAGGGTAGTAAGAAGCACTGAAATGAAGGTCTGTCTGGTCTTTAAGAAGACAAGTGTCATTGGCCCCTGAAACGGTGCTTGACTTGTGAAATGATGCTGTCTGCAGTGTTGCTAAATTGACTTGGCTGGAAAAAAAAAAGTGTCTGTTGTCTTTTTATTATTATTATTATTTTAATACTTATGTATTTATTTATTTGGTCGCGTTGGGTTTTAGTTGCAGCATATCTTTGTTGTGTCACGCGGGATCTTTTGTTGTAGTGCACAGACTCTCTAGTTGCAGCGCACAGGCTTCATTGCGCCTGAGCATGTGGGATCCTCGTTAGCAACCAGGCATCTCACCTGCATCCCCTACTTGGCAAGGCAAATTCTTAACCACTGGACCACTAAGGAAGTCCCTACCTTGGAGTCTTTCCAGCTTACTTCTGGCCATCAGCAGTCCTCAGGGAAAGCCACCACAGTTCACCCTGGAGCCCCAAGCTCCCTTTGTTCTCCAGGGCACGGCCTGGCACGGAGGGACCCTCTGGCTGGGAGTTGGGAGCTTCTAGGCCGGGCTGGCTCTGCCACCCCCAGCTGCACAGCTCTGCACATACTCAGGCCTGGGAGTGCTCGCTGGTGAAATGCCTTGCCTGAATGAGGCCATCTCTGGGCTTTTTTGTAACTGAGATTAAAAAAATAATAATTGAAACTCTCTTAAGAGGGTGAACTTTGGTGCTGTTTCTAACTAAAAATGAGAAATAGGCTCTCTGACACATTTAATGACATGTGTTAGTATGTGTGTAGAACTTTACACTTAACTTGATTTTCTTTCTTTCTTTCTTTCTTTTTTTCTAGCCAAACATCATGTCAGTGGCAACAGAACAGTTGAACCTTTCCCAGAGGGAACACAGATGGCTCTATTTGGTAAGATATCAATTCTGAAAGAAAACCCAAATTGTGTGCAAAGACTCGTGCCAAATTTCTGAGTTTTAGCAAGTGTCCTCAGGGCTTCAAAATCTGGGCTCTTCTAGATATTTACAAGTTGTTGCAGCCAGAAAATTATCGAGTTCTTAGTATTTCTGGGATCAGAAAAGCTTATTCTATAGAATTTAGTATGCTTTCCTTCCTCACTTTGCAAGTCAAATATCAAACTGTATATTTACTATTCTTATGTCCACACTCTGAATTAACCTGATAATTTAGGAGTTGAGTTTTTCTTTCTTAAGAAAGATTTTTTTCCATATACACATTTACATATATATGTGAATGCTCAGTCACTTCAGTCGTGTCCAACTCTTTGCGATCCCTTGGACTGTCCATGGGATTCTCTAGGCAAGAATACTGGAGTTGGTTGCCATTCCCTTCTCCAGGGGGTCTTCCTGAACCTAGATCTCCTGAGCTGCAGACAGATTCTTTACTGTCTGAGCCACCGGGGAAGCCTATATGTATACATACACATACTATACATACATACATATACATACATGCATACATTCATACATATATGTATAAAAGCTGGGGTTCAAACAGCTTTGAGATACCATTCCCCAGAGAGCAATCTCATTGGACGGTCTCTTTCTCCTCCATTAGGAATTGAGCATATTCCTGTTTCCTGTTTGTTTGTTTCTCTGGTTCCTTCCCCTTAGCCTTTAGACGCGTTCTCTGATTTCTTTCATCCTAAAGCTCTCAATTCCCCTGACTTCACACCCCCCTCCAGCTTCCATCTCCCCTCTGGTCCTGGTGGAAGTCTCCTGCAAGGGCTTTTGATGTAAAATTGCTTTAAGCACCGAAGTGTCTTTGAGCCAGAAATTAGCCTCCTGACAACAGTGTCTCTCAATTAGCATGTTCAGGATAAAATGTTTCCCTAATCCCAGAGTTAGTCATCACTGATGATTAACCCTGGAGAGTTATGAAACAGGGACCCACTTCTGCCCAGGTGTTTGTAAATCTTGCTCTGTGTGGGCTGTCACCTTTTAAAATATACTGGTCAGTAATTAGAAGTTATTATGCCCAAAAATTTAAATGGAGTATCTGGTTTTTGTAGAAAAAAGCATTTGTTGTTGTTCAGTCACTAAGTTGTGTCTGACTCTTTTCAACCACATGGACTGGAGCATGCCAGGCTCCCCTGTCCTTCACTATCTCCTGGAGTTTGCTCAAATTCACATCTACTGAGTCAGTGATGCTATCTAACCATTTAATCCTCTGTCGCCCCCTTCTCCTTTTGCCTTCAGTCTTCGCAGAAGAAGGGAAAGAGTCGGCTCTAGTGAGTCATCTCTTTGTGTCAGGTGGCCAAAATATTGGAGGTTTAACTTCAGCATCAGTCCTTCCAATGAATATTCAGGGTTGATATTTTTTTAGGATTGACTGATTTGATCGCTTTGTGTTAATTATTACTATAAGATGTGTGCTCACTATTTGATTAGTTAGGTTTCCTCTGAGAAATTATGTTCAGTGATGGCATTTTTACTCAAGTTGTAGGCCAAGCTGAGTGTCTGTTACCAGGGGACGACAAGAGTCATATAATTGTTCAAAGGGTTCTTTTGGTGTCTATTAGCTTTGTGAACCCCCAGAAACTGGGTTCCATGTCATACTGGGAAATGTGAAATGAGACTGACTGGTCACAGATTTCCTCCTGTCCTGATATTTTAGGAAAGACTCTTTCCCAAAGACTGATAATATTGTTGGCCACATAATTGAAAATATCAGTGCATAAAGCTCTGTAGCAAGATTATTATTACTCTAAGTTTGTGAAAGGTTTGCTTTAGAGTGACTTTCCTAAAAATCCTAACCCAAGGCCTTCATTGTTTAACTGGGCAAGCAACTCCCGTCTCCCAGCCTCAGTTTTCTCAGCCGTGGAATGGGGAGGCTGATGGTCTGAGGCTCTCCCCTTGGCTTCTGCATATTCCATAGTCAGGGCTGTAGGCTCATCTGGCTGCAGGCTGCCCTGGGAAGCCCACTGTGAATGGCCAAGGGGTGTGCTTTTAAAAGAAACAAATTGTGTACCTAACCTCTACCAGTGCAGAATTATACAGATTGTAGACCAGAATAACATCCCCTGACATCTGAGGACTTTTGCTTTGTTAGAACTGCAGTTTGCCTCTTCCAGGTGCTCAAATGAAGGCCCCTGCTTTGGTTAACTACATGCAGACATTTGATATTTGTGCTTTCAAAACTATCCTCTCTTGATATAGCTTGTCCACCTGGCCTGCACTGGGGAGTGGATGGGTTTTGGGGTGGGGATCTGTCATTCAGGTTATTTATAGTTGTACTGAAAAAGTAAGACTAAGCAGCTTCTTGACACGTCTTGGGCATTTAGTCCTCACAGTACCTTGTAAAGCTGGTCGGAGTACACAGTCCCCTTCTCAGAGAGCTAATATGATTTATCACAAGTCCCTCAGCCAGACAGATGATGGAGCTTGAATGTGAGCCTGGGGCTAACTGACCGGAAGTCCACACTCTTTTCCCCATGTCCCCGGACACTTGATTCTGGTTACAGGAGCTCTGGGAGAGTCTGGTAGAGTCAGAATTGCCTTTCGGCTAGATCATCCATGCACAAAAGCATGAATTCCAGCCAAGTCAATTTAGCAAATTGATTTGTGAATTTCTATGCATTTCCAGAGTGCTCTGAAGTACTCTTGAGACACAGCTTTTGCCGGGAAAACACCGCTTGGAGTGACATCTCCTACTATTTATCATTTTCTCCCATCTGATCTTAGTAGCAGGCATTAACGTGCAGGAGAATGTCTGACATCGACTTGCCTGTGAGGTCACCAAAGCAACAGTGGCACTGGTACTCGTCCAGACTCATTCTTCAGCCTGGGAAGGCTTTAGTATTTTATGCCAAGAGAGTATCAGCTATTCCCATTTCATTATCTATCAGTTAATCATTTGAACGTACCTTACGGAATGCTGTCTAAATAGAAACTTTTAAGTTTAATCCACTCTGAAGGTGCACTCCCATTAGCATTTAGCTTAGGATGGGTGATGTAAGGAAGGGTACAGTGAGGGTCAAGGACAGGCTTCATTCTAAGAAATGTATGAATGTGTTATTATATCAAGTGACCAGATAATGTATGGACAGTTCCTTAAAAGCTGTTTTTGGCATGCAGTCTTCAGAGATTATTTTTGAGACAGGGCGTTCGTTTTTCTCATGGCCCAGTTAGTTTTCCCCTTGTCTCGTTTTTCTGTGATCGCTGTTCTTTACCTTTTCCACGGCTCTTTTCTTTCCTCCGCACTTTAGGATGATGATAATGAAGGTAATAGTCCTGCTCTCCCGGTGGGCTTCTCCTTGTCTGTGCCTGTTGCTCCCTTTCAAGTCAGTGGGAGCCCCCTTTTCACAGGCCGGAGAAGTGGACCCGAACATTTTGCAATTACTGAGTGTCTTTGTTCCTGGCGGCTGAGTGCCCAGTGGCAGCCAGCCCTTTGATCACACCACAGCCCTGTGAAGGGGGCATCACTGGGCGCTCTTAGAGACGGAAAAACTGAGGCACCGAGAGATGAAAGCGATCTGGTCAAGTAAAGGCAGTGCTTCCGCTGGCACGAGGATGTCCACGTGACGGCTGCCCACACGCTGTGCCTGGCTTTGAAGGGTCCCCCCCAGCTCCCCGTGTCTTAACGCAAGTGAGCAGAGGGCCCCTCCACCCAGGCAAAGAGCACGAGCCCCTGCCTGTCTGCAGTGGTCACTCTCAAGCATGAATCAGCCATTCAGTTTATTAAAGGTGCACCATCATCAGGAAGAGTTATCATTTCCAAATAAGACAGGAATTTGTTCATTGAGAAGCGTGCAGGGAAATCAGGGGTTGGGGCGCCAGGCTTAATATGTGAAGAGTTTTAGTGCAATCTGAAAAAGTGAGATACAGATTTTTAAAACTTTCGAGTTTAGTACTTGATCTTAACACTGATTATCCAAACTCAGATACTTTTAAGAGTGAAAAGGGTGCTGTTAAAAAATGTTATGTATTTTAGAATTTTTATTGGAATGTAGTTGCTTTATAATACTGTCTTATTTTCTGCTGTATAGCACAGTGAATCAGCCACATGTACACATATATCCCCGCTTTTTTGGACTTCCTTCCCATTTTTGTCACCATAGAGCGCTGAGTAGAGTTCCCTGAGCTATACACACATACACGCACACACACAGAAGAATCCTAACGAGAGTGTGTATTATTAGCTATTGTACCAAGAATAATAAATACACATTGATTAAAGTTGCATTGAAAAATAATGAACTTAGAGATATAAAAGGAAATAAAGAAATGAAAAATTCCAATGCAGTAGCCTTACATTATGTACCATATAGCATCAATACCAGTAGTTACATTAACTTCTAAGATTTTACTCAGTATACCTGGCTGTTGTTATATTCTTTCTAAATGACTTGAAATGTTAGTTCATATTTCTACCTGGCTGTTGTTATAGTCTTTTGACTGACCTGAAATGAACAGTTAACTCATATTTATACCTGGCTCATAGCACTTAAGTAAGAGATGGGGAATTGTCCAATCATACCTTTGCAATTCTAATCATGTACTAGTACTGTCCAGTGGGGCTTCCCTGGTGGCTCAGTGGATAAAGAATCTGCCTGCAATGCAGGAGATACAGGGGATGTGGGTTTGATTCCTGCATCAGGAAGATCTCCTGGAGGAGGACGTGACAACCCACTCCAGCATTCTTGTTTGGAGAATCCCATGGACGGAGGAGCCTGGTGGGCTACAGTCCCTGGTGTTGCAGAGAGTCGTACATAACTGAGCATCTAACACACAGTGTCCAGTGATGAAGGGTGATCTTCATAGCTTTTCATCAGTAGAGCTATTCAAATGAGAAATCGATTCTACCTAGTCGGGAAGTGGAAGTAAATAACTTTTAAGAGGTTTTCTTCTTAATTAATGAGAATTGTCTTTGTTTCAGAGTGTTAAACCATT